ATAATAAACATAAACTGGACATCCATTCCGAGGAATGTGTTTTTATAGGGTATTCACGCAGTCACAAAGGCTACAAGTGTCTCTCACCATCTGGAAAGGTCTATATCTCTAGGGATGTTGTTTTCCAAGAATCAAAATTTCCCTATCCCACTATATTTTCATCCAAATCATCCTCTTCCCCTACTAACTCTTATCCTCTTTCTGTTCCCATAAGTATTCAATCTTCTTCTCACTCTTCCAATAATTCTTCCTTCTCCTCTTATGAGTCAGTTCCCTCTCACCATCAATCTCAAAATTCTTCCCAAGAACAATCTTCATCTTCCTCTAATAAACAATATCAGTCTAATCAACTTGATTCTACTGATACTTCATCTCCAACTCAACCCAATTATGACCTTCCTCATAATTCCCTTTCTCAATCTCAGTCTAGTAATCATGAACAATCTTCTCCTCCACATCTTCAGTTCCTCTTGTTCCTTTGACTAACACACATCCTATGAGGACAAGGGCTAAGTCAGGAATAGTAAAACCAAGACTTCATCCTACCTTACTGTTAACTCATATTGAGCCTAAGTCATTTAAACAAGCTCTCTCTTCTCCTCAGTGGCTTGAGGCTATGCAAACTGAATACAATGCTTTACTTGCTAACAGAACCTGGTCTCTTGTTTCTTTGCCTCCAGGAAAACAAGCCATTGGGTGCAAATGGGTTTTCAGGGTCAAAGAAAATCATGATGGAACCCTTAACAAATATAAAGCTAGGTTGGTGGCTAAGGGTTTCCATCAGAGGTTTGGATTTGATTTTGGAGAAACCTTTTCTCCAGTGGTGAAGCTTGTGACTATCAGAATCCTGCTAACTCTTGCTGTTTGAAACAATTGGCCCATCCAACAATTCGATGTCAACAATGCCTTTTTGAATGGGGAACTGGATGAGGAGGTTTACATGGTGCAGCCGCCAGGATTTCAAGCTGAGGATACTTCTCTAGTTTGCAAACTTCACAAGTCATTATGTGGTCTCAAACAAGCCCCCAGAGCTTGGTTTCACAAGCTCACCTCAGTTCTCTACATTGCTGGCTTCAAACAAAGCAAATCTGATCCCTCTCTACTCATTTATCTCACTCCTGAGGTCAAGATATACATCCTTATCTATGTTGATGATATATTTGTCATTGGAAACAACTCCACTACTATCAAGCAACTAATTCAGAAACTTCACTCAACCTTTTCTTTGAAGAATTTGGGAGACCTTGATTTCTTTTTAGGAATTGAGGCACATAAACTTCCTGATGGAAGTCTTCATCTTTCTCAGAGTAAGTACATTAGAGATGTACTAAATCAAGCCGGTATGCTTGACTCTAAAGGAGTTAAGACACCTATGGTAAGCACCTGTAAACTTCAGAAGCAAGGCAGTGATACTCTTCCAAATCCCTCTTAGTACAGATCTATTGTCGGTGCTTTGCAGTGTGCCACTTTAACAAGATCAGACGTTTGTTATGCTGTCAACAAAGTCTGCCAATTTATGGCTGAACCATTGCAGGACCATTGGCAAGCAGTGAAGCATATTCTTAGATATCTCTCTGGCACTATCAATCATGGTATCATCATCAGACCAATTCCTTTATCTGCAATGCCTTTGCCTATCCTAGCCTACTGTGATGCTGACTGGGCATCTGATCCAAATGATAGAAAATCCACTTTTGGTTCTTGTATATTTCTTGGAACCAATATTGTTTCATGGTGGTCAAGAAAACAGCTCAGAGTGGCAAGATCATCTACTGAAGCAGAATATAGGAGTCTTACAGACACTGCAGCAGAACTCCTATGGATTCAGTTTCTTCTAAGAAAACTTCAAGCGTCTTTTGCTATTCCTAAAGTATACTGTGATAACCTCAGCACAGTTCAGGTAGCCCACAATCCTGTTTTGCACTCAAGAATCAAACATATGGAAATTGACCTTTTCTTTGTCAGGGAGAAAGTTCTTCTGAAGCAACTTGAAGCAACTTGAAGTCTGCCACATTCCTTCTCCTTATCAGATTGCTGACACTCTAACCAAGCCACTTTCAAGCTCCAGATTCCTTGAATTAAAACCAAAACTTAGTATGATTGAGCTTTTAAACCAATCACCCTAGTTTTGAGGGGGGGATGTTAGGCATATATCTTTGTTATAGACTAGAAGTTCTGAGTTGTTATAGTCTATTATATACTAACAGCTAGTGTTCAGGTTGTTAAGAAGTCTGTTGACTTAACAACCCTATAAATACTTGTACTCGTACACTGTTATGAATAAGATATCATTCTGTTAGCTTCTATCTCTCTTTCTAAACTCTGTCAGTTATACCACCACTTGAACTAACCCCGGGACAATAGGATAATTTGAGAAAAGGCTCCCTATACAAATTCACTTGGGTAACTTTTACTACTCCGTAATATATAATGGATGTGGCGTTTCATTAATGTTTGTTCAGCTGATAGGCCATTTTGTCCTTAGCTTGAGCAAGTTCAGCATATTGATTTGGATAAAATGCTTGAGCAAGTAAGCATTTTGTCCTTAGCTTACTACTTCTTTATTCTATTTCTGATTTCATTAAATTTTATCCAAAATATTCCCCTTTAAAGACTCACATTGTGTTAAAACACGGGATTCCATCCTAAAAGGTCAACCTGATAGGAGGAGTAATCCAGATCTTAATATAGCACTTAATTCCTTCACACATTTCCGGTGTGGGAATTTAACACCCCTCTTCACAACCAGACACTTCATCTGGATTGTGTCGTCATTCATTTTTTCATTGATTCGTTATTGTCATTTTTTATAATCACGTCATCATATTTCATAAGGGGGCCCATACCATGAATCGGTTTCTCTCTGATACCATGTTAAGACTCAGGTTCGATCTAAAATGTCAACTTGATAGGAGGAGTAATCCAGATTTTAATATAGCACTTAATTCATTCACACATTGCTCATTAAGAATCAGTACACAATCAAATGGCGAGTCATGTTTGTACCATACTAAAATCTTAATTCTCCATGCAAAATTTTGTAATAATATAAATAAAGTTACTTTTTTGACAGAATTAATCGAAAACAATAATTTTAATATTACTCCATATTATTTTGTGGAAAGATGCTCTTTTTGTATCTCATTTATATTGGAACTTTTGTAGTCCCAAAAAGCATTATAACTACTTATGTTTTACATGAAAATTATATATAGTGAAGAAAAGAAGTGAAATCAAACAAATATCTTCAATTTTGCACATACAACAACTATATAATCAAAAGTGACGAAAGATATGTCACAATTCAAAGGAAACTTGGGCCCCGCACTTCTAGGTCATTCACGGGGATCAAAAGATGATGAAAAGGGAAGAGTGTTCAAAAAATAAAACTCTGAAGTCGGGCCTAGGTCAAAACTGGCACATGACTTTGATCATCCGAAGAGAGAAATAAACTAGTCGAAAAATCGCCAGAAGGAATCAGCGTATGGTCCACCCCAACTCTGGCGCCAGAGATGCAATTTTCATGATTTGTATGTCCAAAGTTGACTCTTCCGCTGACCTTGCCCCATAATCAACGTCGAAGTTGGGAAATCTACTAAAAAATAGCATAACGTGCAAGGTATTCCTGAACTGAAATGAAGATATTTGGAGGGTATGACTCAAAAATTTTGCCCTAGTCTGATCTGGGATCATGAATAGACTCAAAAAGTATGTTCTAACCTTTATAAACCCTCCAATCCATCCAAATGCACTATTCAATTCATCAGTGCATATCAATTTTTATAGTTGTTTATGTTTTTCATGGTGCTCTTGAAGTGTGTGGGCTCATTTCTTCCATCCATTCATGTTTAGGTAACAAAGTAGTAATTCACGTTTTAATCTCCTTAGAGCTGAAACTATAAACGATGTTGCATAACATCTAGAGGTTTAAATGGTCAACCGAAGTTGTAATATAGATCGTTCTCTAGAAGAATAAACATACAAATTAAAGTATTAAGGATGGAAATGTACTCGATCTTGTATGGTACGTGTGTGGTATCTTAATATTTAACAAGGTTTTCTCTATATGAATATGAGTCGTAACGGGACTCACACGTAGGGAATTCAAAACCATGCTTTCACTGCCTTAACCGAAGTCGGAAATATAGTAGTGATACCGCATTCATAAGTATTGATAAAGAACTTATATATATTAAACTCTAGTTAACGTTTAGTTGAATTTTGATGGTTTGTTCGTTTTATCATAAATTCATATATATATATATATATATATATATATATATATATATATATAATAACAACAAAATATCTGAACTTTATACATATTCTCTACTTTAATTCTTAAATCCGAACTTTATAAAGCAATGTTTCCATGTGGATAGACCCAGTACTTTGCTTGTATATACTACCTCTGTCCCCCTATTATTGTCTCATTACGGTTTACGATGCTTAACCGACGATAAAGCAAACGGATCCCTGTCCGCATTCAAATTAAAAAAATTGCATATTCAGAAACTACATTAAAAGCTTTACAAAGTCGCAAAAACCAGAATCAAATTTCATAAAAAAATTCATATATAAAGTAAGAGATTAAGAATGATTTGTGTTGACCAAGTGAATAGAAAATGGGACCATAATTGGGGGACGGAGGGAGTATTATATTATTAATAACAAATAAATTAATTTATATTTACTATTATATATATTGTTGCTACCAATTCGCAGACTAAGTAAAGACTAAAAGAAATGTATACTAACAAATTGAAACATAATTAATAAATAAATCTTTAATTAGACCATAATTATCGTGTTTGATATGATTTGATAGATGTCTAATAATATATACTACGCATTTATTTTACAATTATCAAAGTTTGGACGGTTGAACTAAGGTTAATAATAACACAGTGAAAGTCCCTCTTATCCTTTTCCGGATTACATTGTACTTGGGTACTAAATAAAGTGGTCATTTTGGACATTACATTGGAGTCAAATGAGCAAAGGAATGTAAAAATACCAGAATATAATGAGTTAAATAAAGAACACATTTTTGTACGTATATTAGAACTCAAAAACAAATTACGATTCTTATTGCATGACATGGGAAAATCAATATAAAAGTACAAAAAGCACGCAAGTTACATATATATAAAGCTACATATATAAACTTTACGCAAACAAACTAGTTGAACCAGCTAGCAGCCAGTTTGCAGATAACATAAACAGGCCAAAATCTGCATGCATCCATGCACGCAAATGACCTAATCTATACTCATAAAGTTGACCGGAGATACGACTTTACTTCTTTTAGTTGACCGCCGTCAGCCTCGGCTCTACATCCAGCTTTGAAATCTCCACCTCCGCCGGGTTACTCTTTCCGAAATGGATCTTTTCGGAGCAAAGGAAAGCTCCGAGCTTCACAATGTCGACGAGCTGTTCCTCCGTCAGCTCCGGCGGTTGCTGCTTCTTCTCCTCCGGTTCCAGCACTAGCACCACCGGCGACTTCGGCGGGACAGATACTTGCTGCAGGGGAAGTTTCTTCATGTCCTCATTTTTTCCTTTGTAAATCATGTAAAGAACCATTTGGAGAATGCTAAAGAAGAATCCCAATACATTCGGCACCTAAATATGTAAATACATGCATGTGTTAGATAAAATACACTTATTACCTTAAAATATTTGTGTCTTAAAAGTTTGTCATCTTTTAATTTTTTGGTCAATCATGTTTAACTTTGACAAATTATATTTTTTTATGCTACATGTGTAGGAAACTATTTATAATAAAATGATGTGAAAATGTTTTTTGTTCGAAGTATTTTCATAGAAGTTAAAAATTTATAAATCACACACTATTATAACTTATAAGTAATACGGACTACTAATTAAAATCATGGTCCAAATTTTACCACCATTGATTTGAAAAATCAATGATTGATAAATTTTTGAAGGGTAGAGACAGTATTAATTGTATGTATGTTTAGGCATCATTTTTTGATCTACTATACTTACCGCTATGTTTATGTCTTTTAAGAGCAAACCATAGAAGAACCACATGACAGCGCTGAATGTTAAGAAAACTGATAAAAGAATTGGCATATGCTCAACGCTCTTTGTCTTGATTACTTGCCTCTGCATGATTAATAGAAATTAATTAGTAAGAAGATTAATTATTGCAATAATTACGCATGTACCCAAAATACTATTAAACCACAACAACTTTCGGACTTCTCCCAAGTACAAGTAACATGTTTTTATTCCCAATTTGAAATCAAAGCATGCTAATTTAATTTATACGATCGTACTTCAACATATTACTAGCTAACATGCTTAGTTTTTTATTTTTTCAACTAACATGCTTAGTAATTAACTAAGAAAGATGAAAAAATAATATATAGGGAGTAGCAAAACACTTACCACAATACACAAGGGGGCGACAAAAACACACAAGGAGAAAACGAGGCAAACCCAACCGACAACTTGGGCACGAACCGCCCCTTGAAAGAGAAATTGAGAGACGAGGACGACGGCCCCGAAACCTACGAGCTCCATCAATACAATCATCTTCACTGTCTGCATCCTCGCTTCCTTGGTCGCGTAGTAGATGTAGAAGCTAACGTAAATGGTTTCGATGAAACACCCGAAGGAGTTTATGGTAATGAGAAGGGTGGTGTTCGACTTCAGGAAGGCGTAGTATATCCATAGCATTGAGCTGAAGAGCGCAACCACATACGGAATCGATTGATACCCCTCAGCTGATTTCTTCTTGTAAATCTTATAGAATGTAGGCCTATATAAATCCCGTCATACAAATAGTTAACTTCAACAAAAATAAGAAGGAATCACTATGATTTTAAGTCCGATGTGAACCTAAATCTATTAATAGTATGAGACCCTATGAGGTGTCTTAAAACAAATCTATTTGTGGCTTGACCTTTCTGGTCAAGCCACCAAAATAACAAATATAAAATATTAATATCTTGTTAAGGTGATCTCGCCTTTTTGGTCCTCATAAAGTTGACCAAATACCATATGTAAATTAATTTGTTAAAGAAAGAGAAATCAACCTAATTTAATACTAGAACTTACAAAGGAGAGAGGAAAACAATGAAGGAGACTATGTTCCCAAGCACTCCAAAAGTAAAAGCCAAGTGACCACCCAAGAGAGCCATTGATATATGATGATACTCTTTAATTTGTGTGTAAATTAATAACCAGGCCACCAAGATCTGATCAGAATAGAGTTATTATGAGCTAACTCTATATCTGATGATGATCCGTCGGGTCGGCGTTATAGTGTGTTCTGAACCGATCAAGTTAGTTCACAGCGAATGATCTGAATGAAAGGAAATGAAGGTTGGGAGGTCTTTATATAGAGGGAAAGTGGAAAATTTTGTTCTCTAGCGACCAACTTTTATATTGTTATGTTTGTACGTGCAATTCAAGTATTTTGAATTTCATTTGATACGAAATCTATTTTTTATTCTTATTAATTATATTCATTTTATTTGTTTTGATTGTGTAAACTTGAAATTAAAGTGCAGTACGTACTTTTGAATATCCTGTTATTGCTCATAGTGAAAATCATTTCACCTCTTGGTTGCGAGTTCTGGATCCTTCAAATTAGTGAATCAAATCATTTATATGTATCATTATCCGGAGTATAAAATAAGATAGCTCAAAAATACATTTAAAAAAATCTACAACGTATTATATTTGAACATCACAAATAAACCATTTAGACGTCAGGGCAATGATTAAAAGGTGTACAAAATCACACGGAATATCATTAGAGAGTTGGAAGTCTTTCAAAATACTCTCTACTTCTACGTATGTTGTGTGAACGTATGGTTGTTTATTTGCCACTAAGATATCTATGGTTAGCCCACTTAGCCGATGGCCGTATATATGACATGGTTTTTCTTTTTCGGTTTTTCCTAAAACAATATATATGCACATAACTACGACGTAGTATTATATTATTATATTACAAATACTACGTATTATATATGTATTTAATTTGGTCTATAATATAATTATTTTAAGGATATAATTATTACATATCATAGAGAAAAATTATGAAATAAGAGTAAAACATAGATGCTGTACAAATAAGATCGTCGTGGTTTTCTTCATAAACAGGACTCATTGCGTCTTTTTTGACAAGTTTTGTGATTTCATTAGAATCAAATAAACCCTCTTTTGAGAATAAAACATGGCTACTCTCATTTGTATAACTTATCTATATTTTGCTCCTATTTGGACAAATTTCTTTTACATACTAATATTTAGTAGTAGCTCTTACGGTTTGTTTGGAAACACTAAAAAACATTTTCCAACTTTTTGTTTAAAAAAGCTAAAAAGGGTGACAACTTCTACTTAAATTAACACTTAAAAATTAGCTAAAAGCTAGAATCTGTTATTTACTTTTTGTATTACACAAAAAAACACTTATTTTACCAAATACTACCAACTTTTACTTTTCAAAATCACATTTTTTTCAAACACTGCCAACTTTTACTATAAATCACTTTTTCTCAAATCACTTAAAAAAGTTCAAAAGTGATTGTGAGTAGTGTTTGCAAACAAACCCTTATATTGTTATATTAAAAATATTAGCTAATACATGCACATTAGCTATGCTGCATTTTTTAATATTCTAACATAAAGAAAAAAATATCCAATTAAATTGAATTGCAAGTATAGAGCATCACTAGTTAAGATAAATCAACTCAAATAATGAAATTTGTAACGACCCGAAAACTTCAAGTTTCTTAGGGTGCGCAAGAGTGAGGACAAAGTGTGCGGTAAAAGGCTAGTGTTGGATTGTGAGCACAATATTGAGTCCGAAAGGCAATCAGGAGTAATTACCTCGGGCCCTGCGAGGCGGGGTGTTACAAGTGGTATTCGAGTAACCCTGTGACAGTGTGTTGATCCAGTGGATATCGAACATGGACATAGCACATGAGAATTCTTGTAACACCGTCCCCGGGCTCGGATGTGGTCTGGGGTGTGACAACTCTCGAGATTGATTGGGGTTGACTTACAGGCGCAACGAGGATGCCCCCCCCCCATTGGGGGTGATTGTAATACTCGAGATTAATATAAAAGCATTAATGGTACTATCCATATGAACAATGTGCATCTCATTTTAAGAAGCTCATTTCCTAAGAACTTCAAGTTAAGCGTACAGGAGTGGTTTTGGGATGTGTGGTCCTCTGGAAAGTTTATCGGGGTGCACACGAGTGAGGAAAAAGTGTGTGGTAAAAGGCTCATACATGTTAGTTTGTGAGGACGAGTATTGCGTCTGGCACACGGGCCGGGTGTTACTAAATTGCTTGATACCTTCTTAATGGTACGGTGTCTGAGTTAACCTGATTTGACTAATGTTTTATCATTTGAGGAATCGATGTGTTTTAAATAAAGTATTCATTTCATTTAGCTTTGTGCATTCATGGTATAACGGTTTAGAAGCCCAAAATCAAATATTCATGGTGCCTTGGAAAGAAGCTAGTGGCTGTTTTGGGATGGATGGACGTCTCGAAGGACTAAGGAAGCATGGGAGATTGATTTCTTAGTTTGGGGATTAATCCAAATTAATTATGTTCAAAATTACTTCTTAAATTTGTCCATATTAGTATCAATTGTAGGAAACAAGCATTACTCATGTTAGGTGTTCACTTCACCGACTCAGACCACACTCAACGATTACACAAAGCACAAACCAAGCTCTTGAAAGGGTAACACACTCATTCCATCCCTAACCGTCCCAACGCTCACCAGACACACAAAGGAAATAGAGTAGAATAAGAGTTCGAACGGAGGAATGATAAGGAGCAGCGGTTCAGAGAGAACCCTAGATCTCTCTCTCCTATCACTCTATCTCTCTCTTGGTCGAACAAAACAAAAGTATCTCACACAAAATAGGTTATGCATTATATATAATAGGGTTAAGAGAAACCATAGGCAACAGTTCCAGAAGCGGGCGAATGAGGCGGAGGAGCTGGGATGGACGCACGTAAGGGCCAAACACTGTTGGTTTGAACAAATAGGAGATGGGCTGACTTAGCCCATAGGCCAATACCTCAACATTCTCCACTTTATTGGCTTATGGTCGATGCTAAGTAACATAAAGAATGAGTATGTGGTTCATCATTTTCGGGTCATCATCAGTGACATCCCAACGGACATGGATTGGTGAACAAGTTGAAGATGCACAGAGCCACTCTAGGGTCACAAGGATCCAAAAACCAAATTGGAGAAATACACAGACTCTCTGAGTCATAAAGACTCAGAACAAAAACAAAACACAAAACAATCCTCCATAATCCTAAATCACAATTTGCTTACAAGCTAATAGCTTATCTGCTGTTAGGCACTTCGTCCCCATATCTGTATATTCAGCTCAGAAGGGATTTTGGACATCTTTATCTTACTTGCATCAACAACATCACAAATAAAGTGGAATCTAATATCAATATGTTTAGTCCTATCATGAAAACCAAGATTTTTGCACAATAGTATGGCAGATTGGTTGTCTTCGAAAAAATAGTAACATCCTTTTTAAGGTAACCAATCTAAAAAACAAATTGTTCAAGTTAAATAGCCTCCTTGAAGGCCTCCCTAGCAGCAACATATTCAACCTCTGTGGTAGAGAATCCAACAATGGGTTGCAACTGAGACTTCCAGCTAACACATAATCCACAAAATTAAATGTGAAAATGTAGAATGTATAGTTAATTTGAAGGGAAAAGTACGAAAAAGGTACTTGTGGTTGAACCCGTTTTCAGATAAGATCATGTGTTTCATTCTTTATCAAAGTGGTTCATGTGTTTGAATTATGTTACCACAAGAGGGTCACGCCATTAAAAACGTCTGAAAAAGACCGTTAAAAATAACTATGATTTTCAAAAGTGCCCTGAAAATTAAAAGAAAAATACCGAAAGGTGCGCCTCGTCAAAATGACCTCCAAACCACCTTCGCCTTTGGATTTTTCAGATCTGTTTGAATTATTTTTAAAAAATGATTTCGTTGATATCCCTTTTCCGGTGGACTTTCCAGTGACAAGGGTGGCTGAAAACAAAAAAGAAAGATGGTGTAGCGTTCGTTTTATTGAGGCGCACCTTCCGGTATTTTTCTTTTAATTTTTCGGACACTTTTGAAAATCGGAGTTACTTTTAACGGTCTTGTTCAGACGTTTTTAACGGTGTGACCCTATTTTGATAACGGAATTCAAACACACGAACCACTTTGATAAAGAATGAACCACATGACCCTATTTTAAAACGGGTCCAACCACAAGTACATTTTCCGTGCTTTTCCCTAGTTTGAATCTACATAGCCACACAGTTTGACTCCTTCAGAACGTTTAGCAAAAACTAACTCATGATTAACATATGCCTTAAGGTACCTTAACAATCATTTCAAAGCATTCAAGTACATAGTACTAGGATTAGACACGTATCTACTTAAACAACTAACAGCATAAGCAATATCAAGTCTAGAACTAACCGTCAAATACATCTCATAACCAATGGCGATAGAGTAAAGCACAAACTTCATCTTCTCAATTTAAGGACCAGTCTTTGGGGACTCTTCATTACTTAACACAAAGTGGGATGTAAGGGGAACATTCATTGGATTAGCATTGAGCATATTGAATTTACCAAAACCCTTTTTAACATATGGAATCTGGTCAAAACGAGTGTGGATGCATTTCTATCTCTAACAATATTAAAACCAAGGATCCTCTTGGCATCACCAACGTCCTTCATTGCAAAATTTTCACATAAGCATCTTTGCGTAGAAGCAATGGACTTTAGACATGGATTAATAATGAGCATATCATCCACATAGGATCAGCAAATAAATAAGCACAGGAGAAATACTCTTATAGTACGGGCAGTGATCACAAGCAGATTTGGAAAATTTCATGGATCTCATGCATTGATCAAACATAATAGTCCACTGTCTATGGGATTACTTCAGGTAATACAAGGCTTTCCTAAGCAGAAAAAAGTGACGTGATTACTCCTATTGGGATCCACAAACCCTCAGGTTGGGTCATGTAAATTTTCTTATCCAAGCTAAGTCACTATGCAAAAAGGCAGCGGTAGTACCATCCATTTGCTTTATCTCCCAGTCATAGTAAGCAATCAGAGTAAGCATAATACGAACATTAGTAAAATTAACCACATGAGCAAAGATTTTAGCATAATTTACCACCTCTGTTTTAGTAAACCTCTTAGACATTAGCCAACCCTTAAACCTAACAGAATTAGACTCCTCTTTGACTTTGTAAAGCCACTTACACTCAACAACCGAGTAGTTTTGGGGTCTAAGGACAAGAGACCAGATCTGGTTCATATGCAAA